CTCTTTCCAAACACTGTAGCGGCGGCGGCGGGGTAAAGCGCGTCGAAAGCGTACAAAAACAGCACAGCGGAAGGCTGGCAGCGCCTATTGTAGCAGCTACTTTAAGGAGAGATTTGCACAATGCGGTAATCACCTGTTACAATTACATAATTCATATCCTCGCCCTCCTGGAGAAGTTACCCGCCGCCAGGAAAAATCAGATAAATGCAGACTCGGAGGAGCGCGCCGACTGTTAGTTGTGCGATTTGGAAGTGCGGTGACGCCCATCCGCTGGAGATGAGAAAAAGAGTGGAAATCCTGGGAAAGGGGAAGACTGAAGGGTGGGTGGGGCACGGGCTGGGTGAGGGTAATAGGGTACAACAGTCTGGGCAGGGAGCCGTACAGGCCGTGAATGGGGCTGGGTGAGGGTAATAGGGTACAACAGTCTGGGCGTGGGGCGGTACAGGCCGTGAATGGGGTTGGGTGAGGGTAATAGGGTACAACAGTCTGGGCGGGGAATGGCACGGGCTGTGAATGGAGCTGGATGAAGGTAATAGGGTACAACAGTCTGGGTGGGGGGCGGGACGGGCTGTAAATGGGCTTGGGTGAGGGAAATAGGGTACAACAGTTTGGGCGGGGGGGCGGCACGGGCTGTAAACGGGGCTGGGTGAGGGTAATAGGGTACAACAGTCTGGGCGGGGGGGGGGGGGGGCGGCACGGGCCGTGAATGGGGTTGGGTGAGGGTAATAGGGTACAACAGTCTGGGCGGGGGGCGGCACGGGCCGTGAACGGGGCTGGGTGAAGGTAATAGGGTACAACAGTCTGGGCGGGGGGCGGCACGGGCCGTGAACGGGGCTGGGTGAAGGTAATAGGGTACAACAGTCTGGGCGGGGGGGGCGCACGGGCCGTGAACAGGGCTGGGTGAAGGTAATAGGGTACAACAGTCTGGGCGGGGGGCGGTACGGGCCGTGAACGGGGCTGGGTGAGGGTAATAGGGTACAACAGTCTGGGCGGGGGGGGCGGTAATATACAGTATTGGGGTTGCTTATCAATATTCCGTTGAGGGGGGGTTCTGACACAATCAATAAAAGCAAACCTTCCCCCACTCATTTTCCAAAAAAAAGTCAGTGACTTTGCCTAGGCTGCGATGATGTCATCAGTGAGGAGGACGCATTTCCCCAGGCTCCTCCCCTCCTGTGATCACTCAGGCTGTACATTGTAACTTGGGAACCCTATTGTTTAAGGGTCGGTTCACACTGTAGAAACAGTTCAGATGCATTCCAGATACATTTTTTCACGTGCGTTTTTGGCGCATTCCCGTGCATTTTTACATGTTTTTGGCGTGTTCCCGTGCATTTTTATGTGTGTTTTTGCCGTGTTCCTGTGCATTTTTATGCGTGTTTTTGGCGCATTCCCGTGCATTTTTATATGTTTTTGGCGCGTTCCCGTGCATTTTTATGCGTGTTTTTGGCGCGTTCCTGTGCAGTTTTATGCGTTTTTGGCGCGTTCCTGTGCATTTTTATGCGTGTTTTTGGCGCATTCCTGTGCAGTTTTATGCGTTTTTGGCGCATTCCCGTGCATTTTTATGCGTGTTTTTGGCGCATTCCCGTGCATTTTTATGCGTTTTTGGTGTGTTCCCGTGCATTTTTATGTGTGTTTTTGGTGCATTCCCGTGCAATTTTATGCGTTTTTGGCGTGTTCCCGTGCATTTTTATGCATGTTTTTGGTGCATTCCTGTGCATTTTTATGCATGTTTTTGGCGCGTTCCCGTGCATTTTTATGCGTTTTTGATGCATTCCAGTTCATTTTTTCCTCTCTCTTTTTCTCCAATTTAACCAGTTGCTGACTGCAGATAGTCGAATGACGGCTGCACTGCGGCCGGCCAGTTCTGGGAGGGCATCATATGACGTCCTCCTGCGCGCCCCCAGCGATCTCTGTCCTACGGACACAACTGATCACATGATGTGGTAAAAGGCCAATCACAGCGGCCTTTTAACACGTGATCAGCCGCGTCCAATGACACGCTGATCACCGGAAACTGCAATTGCTGTCAAAGCGTGAGGAAAGTACTGCTGAGAAACGACAGTTGTCAGAGGAGGGAGGAGGGATTGGCACTGATGATCGGTGCCCAGCAGTGCCACCCACCAGTTCCGCCCACCTGTGTCCAGAAGTGCAGCCCAGCAGTGCCGCCAGTCAGTGCCAGTCAGTGCCGACTATCAGTACTCATCATCAGTGCCAGCTCATTAGTGCTGCTTATCAGTGCCAATCAGTGCCGCCTATCAGTGCCAATCAGTGCTGCCAATCAGTGCTGCCAATCAGTGCCACCTATCAGTGCCAATCAGTGCCACCTATCAGTGCCGCGTATCAGTGCCGCGTATCAGTGCCAATCAGTGCTGCCAATCAGTGCCACCTATCAGTGCCACCTATCAGTGCCGCCTATCAGTGCCGCCTCATTAATGCACACCAGTGAAGGAGAAAAATTAACTGTTTGCAAAATTTTATAAAAGAATCAGAGAAACTTTTTTTTCAACATATATCCACAGTGAGGAACAGAAGTATTTGAACCCCCTGCGATTTTGCAAGTTCTCCCACTTAGGGTCTGACATTCACATTGTAGGTGCATTCCCACTCTGAGACAGAACTTAACCCCCTCCCACCCGCCATGTAGTCCAATGACGGGCGCAAGGCGGTTCTCACGTTCTGATAGGACGTCATATGACGTCCTTCCGATCTCACCGCGCATGCGTGGCTCAGGGAGCGTGCAGCGCGGCAGTGCGCTGTGTCCCTCGGACACAGCGGATCACAGAAAGAGCCGAAGATGTCGGCTCGGTCATGTGATCAGCTGTGTCCAATCACATGTAAACACAGAAATGCCAGTTATCGGCATTTCTCTCCTCTCGAGATGTCACGCTGACAGAGGAGAGGAGAGCCAGTAATCGGCTTTCCGCGGAGGGGGACATGTACACTGATCATCAGGGCACTGGTGATCAGTGTGCCCTGATGATCAGTGTGGGCCCAGAAGTGCCACCTGTCAGTGTCCATCAGTGCCAGCAGTCAGTGCTCAACAGTGCCACGTGCCAGTGCCCATCAGTGCCACATCAATGCCACATATCAGTGCATACCAGTGCACATCAGTGCCACATATCAGTGCCCATGTGAGCTGCCCTTCAGTGTCACCCATCAGTGCCAGTCAGTGCCACCTATCAATGCCAATCAGTGCTACCAGTCAGTGCCACCTATCAATGCCAATCAGTGCCACCTATCAGTGCCAGTCAGTGTCGCCTATCAGTGCCAGTCAGTGTCGCCTATCAGTGCCAGTCATGTCGCCTATCAGTGCGCATCAGTGCCAGTCAGTGCTGCCTATCAGTGCCAGTCAGTGTCGCCTATCAGTGCCAGTCAGTGTCGCCTATCAGTGCCAGTCATGTCGCCTATCAGTGCGCATCAGTGCCAGTCAGTGCTGCCTAACAGTGCCAGTCAGTGTCGCCTATCAGTGCGCATCAGTGCCAGTCAGTGCTGCCTAACAGTGCCAGTCAGTGCCGCCTATCAGTGCGCATCAGTGCTGCCTATCAGTGCCAAGGCATATATCAGTGTCATGTATCAGTGCTGCCTTTCAGTGCCCATCAGTGATGCCTGTCAATGCCCATCATTGCAACCTACCAGTGCCTCCTCATCAGTGCCCACCAGTGCCACCTATCAGTGCCCATCACTGCAGCCTCATTAGCGCACATCAGTGAAGGAGACAAATCACTTATTTACAAAATATTATAACAAAAACTAAGAAAAAAAAAATTTTTTTTTTTTCAAAATTTTCAGTGGTTTTTGGTTTGTGTAAGAAGTTATAACAAAAAACAATAACTTTTACTTTATGTAAAACAAAACTACAGTTTATATTTATTTTATTTTTATTTTATTTATTTATTGTAGTAAATATTATTAGTGATATTGACAGCCACAGTCATAATTATAATAATAATGGTAATAGGGAGAATTTTTTTTTTTATAATAATAACTTTCGTTTAGGAAGCACCAAAACATTAAAAAAAAAACAAAAATACATCCTAAGGGCCCGGAGGTAATTCCAGCTCGTCCCGGCACCCTCAGGAGGGATATATTATTGTTACTATCACTCTCCTGTTACTGGTGGTGTGATTATCGCTGTTCATATCTGACTGTAATCTTTGCTCCAATTATTCTCATTATTATTATTATTTCTGCCGCTATCATTACCAATGTTGTCAGTGATGGTTGGGGTCAGTGATGTGTGTTGTAGCGATATATATATATATATATTAGTGGTGATAATGACAGCGACAATTACAATTATGTGGGACGATTATCGCTGTTATTGGTAATTATTCGGGTCAGCGGTGCGTACGTCACTTTTATACACGGAGCACAAAAATAAATCTGTACATCCTAAGGGCACGTTGGAGCTTTATATCTGGAAATGTGCGTTTAAAATGTATATATTTTTGTGATATATAAATGAAAGTTATTATTATTATTATTATTATTAATCTCCTTATTATTGCTGTTATTATAAATATGACTGCGGCTGTCATTATCACTACTAGGACTTTTCTAGAATTTTGCAATAATTGTTCTCATTATAAGTATTGTTGCAACTACCATCAGTAATGATTAAGGTCAGTAGTATGCAGGGGCGGACCGACAACTCATGGGGCCCCCGGGGCAATAGGGGATCATGGGGCCCCTGTGTCCTTGCCCAAACTCAAAAAAGCCTATGAAAAAGGTACCAGGAGCATCTCATGGGGCCGCCAACTGACCCCGGGCCTCAGGCAGTGCCCGAGTTTCCAAATGGTCAGTCCACCGCTGGTAGTATTATATATATATATATATATATATATATATATATATATACATACATACATACACGATATTACCCAAAGTATTGGCCCCACCCTCCCAATCATGTGATTCAGGTATTCCAGTCCCCTCCCAATCATGTGATTCAGGTATTCCAATTCCCTCCCAATCATGTGATTCAAGTGTTCCAATCCCCTCCCAATCATGTGATTCAGGTTTTCCAATTCCCTCCCAATCATGTGATTCAGGTGTTCCAATCCCCTCCCAATCATGTGATTCAGGTGTTCCAATCCCCTCCCAATCATGTGATTCAAGTATTCCAATTCCCTCCCAATCATGTGATTCAGGTGTTCCAATCCCCTCCCAATCATGTGATTCAGGTTTTCCAATTCCCTCCCAATCATGTGATTCGGGTGTTCCAATCCCCTCCCAATCATGTGATTCAGGTGTTCCAATCCCCTCCCAATCATGTGATTCAAGTGTTCCAATCCCCTCCCAATCATGTGATTCAGGCGTTCCAATCCCCTCCCAATCATGTGATTCAGGCGTTCCAATCCCCTCCCAATCATGTGATTCGGGTGTTCCAATCCCCTCCCAATCATGTGATTCAGGCGTTCCAATCCCCTCCCAATCATATGATTCAGGCGTTCCAATCCCCTCCCAATCATGTGATTCAGGTGTTCCAGTCCCCTCCCAATCATGTGATTCAGGTGTTCCAATCCCCTCCCAATCATGTGATTCAGGTGTTCCAATCCCCTTTCAATCATGTGATTCAGGTGTTCCAATCCCCTCCATATCATGTGACTCAGGTGTTCCAATCCCCTCCATATCAGGTGATTCAGGTGTTCCAATCCCTTCCCAATCATGTGATTCAGGCGTTCCAATCCCCTCCATGGACACAGGTGTATACAATCAAGCCCCTAGGCATGCAGACGGCTTCTACAAACATTGGTGAAAGAATGGGTCGCTCTCAGGAGCTCAGTGACTCCAAGCGTGGTCCCGTGATAGGTGGCCACCTGGGCAATAAGTCCATCCGTGACATTTCCTGGCTACTAAATATTCCACGCTCAACTGTTAGTGGGATTATAACAAAGTGGAAGCAACTGGGAAAAAACAGCCACTCAGCCACCAAGTGGTAGGCCATGTCACATGACAGGGCGGGGTCAGCACATGCTGAAGCGCACAGCGCCAACTGTCTGCAGAGTCAATAGCTAAAGACCTCCAAACTTGGTGTGGCCTTCAGATGAGCCCAACAACAGTGCGTAGAGAGCTTCATGGAATGGGTTTCCATGGCCGAGCAGCTGCATCCAAGCCTTACATCACCAAGTGCAATGCAAAGCGGCGGATGCCGTGGTGTAAAGCACGTCGCCACTGGACTCCAGAGCAGTGGAGACATTCTCTGGTGGGACCAATCATGCTTCTCTGTCTGGCAATCCGATGGAAGTGTCTGGGTTTGGTGGTTGCCAGAACGGTACTTGCCTGACTGCATTGTGCCAAGTGTAAAGTTTGGTGGAGGGGGGATTATGGTGTGGGGATGTTTTTCAGGGGTTGGGCTTGGACTTCTGGCCTGAGATGCCGGCTCACACATACGACACAATTATATAGAACCTGGTGCCTGTGCTGTTTTTGGCCGTGTTTACAAATGTCGGACGCAGATCAGCCTCCTGCTGCAGCCTCTCACCTTTTAACAAAATTACAATGTATAGTGGTCACTGGGGGGGGGGGGGGAGATGCTTCCTACTGCCTGCAGCAGACTGATGACATCATCTCAGCCTAGGCAAAGTCAATGGCTGAAGTTTTCGCCTCCTGTCCCGGGTAGCAAGAAGAAGCGAGAGCAGGAGAAACTGAAAGTCTGCGAGATATGATATCTCCTCTCCACGCCTGTAGAATTTTGAGTTTTCCTATCACAACCTGTCCTAGAGACACGTAGGCCCCAGCCGAACAGGCCACCATAGCTTTCAAAGCGCACTTAAGGCATGCTAAAGTGGCCATTTGCAGGCCATAGATGGGTCGAAAATTGGCCGATTTTCGCACCGTTAGTGGGTTAATTGGTCGGCCGTTTTTTTTTCCGGGGTTTTAGCACATTTTTTTTTATTGGTAAAGTTGGAAGATTCGTGGCCGATTTTGACGATCGGCCGATTTTCCCGGCAATGATGGGCAAATCGGCTGATCATTTTACCGATAAAAAATCTGCGCATGAGCCGTGACCTGCAAGAAGAAGAAAAAGAAGAAGAAGAAAAATAAGCAGAAGAAGAAGAAAGAGAAGAAAAAGAAAAAGAAGAAATATAAGCAGAAGAAGAGAAAAAGAAGAAAATAAGCAGAAGAAGAGAAAAAGAAGAAGAGAGAAAAATAAGCAGAAGAAGAAAAAGAAGAAGATAAAGAAGAAGTAAAAGAAGAAGCAGAAAAAGAAGAAGAAGAAGAAGAGAAAAAGAAGAAGAAATATAAAGCAAGAAGAAGAAGAAAAAAAGTAAGCATAAAAAGAAGAAGAAAAAAAGAAGAAGAAGAAAAAGAAGAGGCAGAAAAAGAAGAATAAGAAGAGAAAAAAGAAGAAGAAATATAAGCAGAAGAAGAAGAAAAAGAAGAAGGAAAATAAGCAGAAAAAGAAGCAGAAAAAGAAGAAGAAGATGAAAAAGAAGAGCAGAAAAAGAAGAGGCAGAAGAAGAAGAAGAAGAAATATAAGCAGAAGAAGAAAAAGAAGCAGAAAAAGAAGAAGAAGAGAAAAAGAAGAAGAAGAGAAAAAGAATAAGCAGAAAAAGAAGAAGAAGAAAAAAGAAGAGGCAGAAAAAGAAGGAGAAGAAGTAGAAAAGAAGACGAAGAGAAAAAGAAGAAGAAATATAAGCAGAAGAAGAAGAAAAAGAAGAAGAGGAAGAAAAATAAGCAGAAAAAGAAGAAAAAGAAGAAGAAGAGGAAAATAATAATAATAATAATAATAAGAAGAAGAATTCCAGTCCGCTATTATATTTTATATGAAAAAGTCTTGCGGTTGCAACAATGTATCCATTTGTATCCGAATAAAACCATCTGTATCCGAAATGGATACAAATGGATACAATGTTGCAACCGGAAGACTTTTTCATGTCAAATATAATAGTGGAGTTCTCTGCAGGGACAGAAGTAATTATGGAGTTAAATGCCGGCTGTAGACGGGACGAAAATCGGCCAATTTTTTTACCGTTGGTGGTAACGTCGGCCGATCGAACGACCGATTTTTTCATTTTTTTTTTATAAAAAACCCGTCTATGGCCTGCATAAGTGTCACTTTAGCATGCCTTAAGTACTTTTCTTTTAGAATTTCCTTTACACACTGATAAATCAGGGCTGCAAAGAGAGTAACGTTTTCCCTTTTTAGAAAACTAGAAAAAAAAAAAAAAAGGTTTGCGCTAAATTCCCACCATTAAGCATCCGCTAAAAGCCGCAGAAGCAGCGAACGCAACCCGGAATTCAGCCACCGCCTCGGTCACCCCGAACCACGCCGTGTAGGCGAATATACTCAGACAGGTTATTTGAATCTCCGCCATTCACCACTTGACTGTAAATGACCCCCTTTGTGTGCGTGTTTGTGATGCGTTGCGCACGCTTATCAGTGAATGCGCAGGCGGCGGCGCCTCCTTTCTCCGCGGCTCGGTGGAGCGTGGATAGGGTTAGCTCCTGTCGTATTATTGCCTCCTCTCCTCCTGTGATTACCTCGCCTATTATCTGCTGAATACTTTCTATCAGAACCGCCAGATAAATATTCCAGCACCCCGCCGCACAGAGAGCTGCGCAGAAGAATTCGGGTCCGAAGCGCCAACTTTTGGCTATAAGTAAGAGTTTGGGTGAAACTAACAGGCATTTCTCCTATATCAGTGTCGGTCCATTCGGTGTATATAGGAGCCACAAGCGTGGCCCCTAACGTCACCAGAGGGCCTCATGTCATATTTTGTGGGTTTGATTCTACGTTTGCATAGCCATTTGTCCATCGAATCTGCATTTATATGCGTTGTGTGCGAACGAATGTTCCTTAGGCCGTATCCTCTACTGAATGAACGTTCTTTAGGCCGTATCCTCTACTGAATGAACGTTCTTTAGGCCGTATCCTCTACTGAATGAACGTTCTTTAGGCCGTATCCTCTACTGAATGAACATTCTTTAGGCTGTATCCTCTACTGAATGAACATTCTTTAGGACCTATCCTCTACTGAATGAATGTTCTTTAGGTCATATCCTCTACTGAACGAACATTCTTTAGGCTGTATCCTCTACTGAACGAATGTTCTTTAGGCTGTATCCTCTACTGAATGAACATTCTTAAGGCCGTATCCTCTACTGGATGAACGTTCTTTAGGCTGTATCCTCTACTGAATGAACGTTCTTAAGGCCGTATCCTCTACTGAATGAACGTTCTTTAGGCTGTATCCTCTACTGAATGAACGTTCTTAAGGCCGTATCCTCTACTGAATGAACGTTCTTTAGGCTGTATCCTCTACTGAATGAACGTTCTTAAGGCCGTATCCTCTACTGAATGAACGTTCTTTAGGCCGTATCCTCTACTGAATGAACATTCTTTAGGCCGTATCCTCTACTGAATGAACGTTCTTTAGGCCGTATTCTCTACTGAATGAACTTCTTTAGGCTGTATCCTCTACTGAATGAACATTCTTTAGGCCGTATCCTCTACTGAATGAACGTTCTTTAGGCCGTATCCTCTACTGAATGAACGTTCTTTAGGCCGTATCCTCTACTGAATGAACGTTCTTTAGGCCGTATCCTCTACTGAACGAACGTTCTTTAGGCTGTATCCTCTACTGAACGAACGTTCTTTAGGTAGTATTCTCTACTGAATGAACATTCTTTAGGCTGTATCCTCTACTGAATGAACATTCTTTAGGCCATATCCTCTACTGAATGAACATTCTTTAGGCCGTATTCTCTACTGAATGAACATTCTTTAGGCTGTATCCTCTACTGAATGAACATTCTTTAGGCCGTATCCTCTACTGAATGAACGTTCTTTAGGCCGTATCCTCTACTGAATGAACGTTCTTTAGGCCGTATCCTCTACTGAATGAACGTTCTTTAGGCCGTATCCTCTACTGAATGAACATTCTTTAGGCCGTATCCTCTACTGAATGAACGTTCTTTAGGCCGTATTCTCTACTGAATGAACATTCTTTAGGCTGTATTCTCTACTGAATGAACGTTCTTTAGGCCATATCCTCTACTGAATGAACATTCTTTAGGACGTATCCTCTTCTGAATGAATGTTCTTTAGGTCATATCCTCTACTGAATGAACGTTCTTTATGGCCGTATCCTCTACTGAACGAACGTTCTTTAGGCCGTATCCTCTACTGAATGAACGTTCTTTAGGCCGTATCCTCCACTGAACGAATGTTCTTTAGGCTGTATTCTCTACTGAATGAACATTCTTTAGGCCATATCCTCTACTGAATGAACGTTCTTTAGGCCGTATCCTCTACTGAATGAATGTTCTTTAGGCTGTATTCTCTACTGAATGAACATTCTTTAGGCTGTATCCTTTACTGAATGAACATTCTTTAGGACCTATCCTCTACTGAATGAATGTTCTTTAGGTCATATCCTCTACTGAACGAACATTCTTTAGGCTGTATCCTCTACTGAACGAATGTTCTTTAGGCTGTATCCTCTACTGAATGAA